ACCGATAAAAATGAAAAAGACAAAAAAAAAAAAAAAAAAAAAAAGACCAGCTTGGACTACATAGTGAGTAAAAGGCCAGCCTGAATTCTATAGTGAGACCTTGTCTCAGATACAGGAAAAAATTAAAAATACATGAATTAACAACTGATAGAACCATAAGGAATAGGCAAATCTAAAACTGTAGTCAGAAAATTCAATTCTCTCTCAATAACTGATAGAACAAGTACGTGAAATATCTGCACAACACTGGGAAACAAATTAACCTAACACGCTTGTAGAACACTCTAACAACAGAAGAATATATTTCAAGCACAGGCAAATATATTTCAAGCACGTGCAAAGCACTTACTGATAGTACATTTTTGGATATAAAACAAGTCAATAAATTTTAAAAACTCAAATCATACAAAGTGTATTATCTGACTAAAATGAAATTAAACTGGAATCAATAACAGAAAAATCTTTGGCAAATCTCAAAATATCTGTAAACTAAGAATACACTTCTAAATCACTCAGGAATGAAAGAAAAAATTAAGAAGAGAAAATATTTTCCACTCCATGAAAATGAAAACATAGTATGTTGAAATCCATGGGTTGCCCTAAAATAGTAGTTGGGCAATAATTTATATTATTAAATGCCTCTATTAGAAAGGAAGACAGGTCTCCAAATAATTATCTCAATTTCTAGTCATCTTAAGAAAGTAAACAAGAGCAAATTAAACTCCCTATGAGTAGGAAGAGGAAAGCAACAATAAGGACCAGAGAGAAATACATGAAATAGAAACTATATATGAATATTAAAACCAAAAGCTGGTTCTCTCAGAAGAGATCAGTAAAGCTGATAAACATCTATTGAGTCAGGAGGGGAAAAAAAGACAAATTATCAATATCAGGAATGAGAAAGGTTTTTTTACTACATTCTAAGGGAATAACATAGGAATAAACAATTTTTTGCCAATAAATCAACAACTTCAATGAAATAAACAAATTGTACGAAACACAAACTACAAAACTTAAGAAAAACAATGGATAACTCGAATAGCCTTGGATCTATGAAAGAACGTGAACCTGCAGCAAAACTTACAAATCTTCCCAGAAAGGAAACTCTAAACCCAAGTAACTTTACTGACAAATCCTATCAATATTTAAAGAAATAGTGCTAATTCTAAATAAAAAAGTCAAAAAGAGAATTCTTCCCAACTCACTCTATAAAATTAACACTATTCTGATATCAAAACTGGATAAAGGGGGCTGGGGGATTTAGCTGAGCGGCATAAGCGCCTGCCTTGCAAGCAGGCAGTCGTGAGTTTGATCCCTGGTACCGATAAAAATGAAAAAGACAAAAAAAAACTGGATAAAGACAATATAAGAATACATACATTCTTATATCTCTCAAGAACAAAAATGCAAAAAATTCTGACAAATCAAATCTAACATGTGACAAGGATATTTCATGGCCAAGGAGCAAAGCTGATTTCACACTGAAAAACCAATCTACATAATTAACTAACAAATTTTAAAAGATGATTTGAATAGTTGTAGGGAAAAAAACTTCATTTTTGAAGGAAACTTCTTCAATCTAATAAAGAATCTTTATGGAAAATCTGTAGATAGAGCCAGGGATATAACTCAGCAATGTAAGCACCTGCCTGGCAAGCACAAGGTCCTGAGTTCAACTCCTGGTACGAAAAAAAAAAAAAAATTAAAAAATCTATGGGTAACACCACACTCACTAGTGAATGAATTAATATATTTTCCCCGAGATCCAGAACATGACAAAAATGTCCACTCCCACTACTTCCATGCAACATGATGATTCTAGCTAGGGCAATCAGGCAACAAAAAGAAATTAAAGGGCATAAAGATTGAAAAAACAGAAGTTAACACTACTTATAAACAGCATAATCTTGCATGTAGAAAATCCTGCAGAATATACATACACACATATATGTGTGTGTGTGTGTGTGTGTACATTTTGAAACCCTAATCTATACCAAAAACACTACTAAAATCAATCAGACAGCAAAACACAAGGTGAGTATTAACACCCACCGGAATGGATGCGTCAGAAAGAAGCACTGCACAGGTGCAGAGAAACTGGAAACCGCACACTGCTGGTGGGAATGTAACATGGTGCTGTCACCATGGAAACGATGTGGCCATCCCTTCATAAACCAAAGTTACCATGGGACTCAGTCCCACTCCTAGGTTTATCCTCAAGAAGCGTTAAAAACGTAGTGAATGGGGCTGGGGATTTAGCTCAGCGGCATAAGCACCTGCCTTGCAAGCAGGTAGTCGCGAGTTTGATCCCTGGTACCAATAAAAAGGAAAAAGACCAAAAAAAAAGCGCAGTGAATAGGCTGGGGATTTAGCTCAGCGGCATAAGTGCCTGCCTGGCAAGCAGGAAGTTGTTAGTTCAATCCCCAGTACCAAAAAAAAAAAAAAAAAAAAAAAATCATAGTGATTAGAGAGACTGTCTCAAAAATAAAACAAGAAAAAAAAGGGGCTGGGGAGTAGCTCAGTGAAAGTACATGGGTGCAATCCTCAGTACCAGGGGAAAAAGATGTTTATACCAAACTACATAAAGGAAAAGCGGCATTAGTCATAACTAAAAAGTATAAAAAATCCCAATGTTCATCAACTGATAAGATACAGTAGGAAAAAAAAGTAGACTGGGGATTTAGCTCAGCAACGTAAGCACCTGCCTGGCAAATGCAAGGTCATGAGTTCAATCCCTGATACCAAAGAAATAAATAAAAACATACAAAGTTATACCTATATGATGGACTATTATTTGATCATAAAAAAAATACATTCCACAACATGGATAAACCTTGAAAACATTATGCTAAGATGCCAGATACAAAAGACAACTTGCTGTAGGACTCCATTTACAGGAAATGAAGGCAACAGAAAAATCCATTTTTATAATCCATTTTATGCTAGACTCGTGGCTGCTTTCTAGGGAGAGTGTTGAGAGGGACTCTTTCTTGGGGTGACAACACTGTTTTAGAAACGGACAATGGTGACAGTTGTACAATACTGTAAGTTTACTGGTCTTATAAAATGATGAACTGTAAAATGGCTGAGTGAATTTGAATCACTTTCATGAAAAACTCAGCTGCATTTCTATATATTAGCAACATATAATTCAACAAAGAAGTTATGAATACAATTCTATTCACAATAGCACAAAATTGGAGCTGAGGATACAGCTCGGTGGTACAGTGCCTGCCTGGTAAGCACAAGGTCCTCAGTTCGATTTCTGAGTCCAAAAAAAAAAGCACAAAAATACGTAGTAATAAATTTATTAAAAGAACTATATGACTTTCTACATTAAAATCACAAAATACAAATGAAATCAATTAAACAAGACAAATAAATGGAGAGCTGTATCATGTTCAAGGATTGAAAGGCAATATTGTCAGAATTATAATTCAACACAATTTCTATAAAAATCTTATCAGGCGTTTTGTGGAAATCGTTAAGGTGATTCTAAACTTTATATGAAAATGCAACAACCCTAAAAATGAAAACAATTCTGAACAAAGTTAGAGGACATATTCTGCCTAATGTCAAAAGGTATTAGAGATTATAGTAATCATCATGGGATAGGCTTGAAATAGGCAGTACAGAAATAAGCCCACACATTCAGTCAATCGATCCATGATAAAAATGCCAATTCAACAGGGAAAGAACAGTCTTCTAAATAAACGATGCTAGAACAAACGGAGATTGATAGGCAAGAAGAGAAATAAAGGAAGAAAAGAAGTTACACCCATATATATATATATATATATATATATATATATATATGTATATAAATTAAGGAGATAAATCACAGGCCTAAATATAACACTTAAAACTATACAATTTCTAAGCTGCGGACGGTGGTGCCTACCTAAAACCCCAGCACTCAGGAAGCTGAGGCAGGAGAACTGCAGTAAGTTTGAGGCCAGCCTAGGCTAACCAATGAAATCAAGGTCATATACATCAAGACTCTGTCTCTAAACTGAAAGTAGTTTTTCAAAAACTACAGTTTCTATGCCAGAACACAGAAAATCTTTGTGGCCTCTGGTTTGGTAAGATTCTCTCAGCCATACAACCAAAAGTATGATTTATGAGAAAAAATTATAAAATAAACAATCAAAAGTCAGATTTTTTTCCTTTAAAAGCACGACTGAGAAAATTAAGACAAACCACAGACTAAAACACCTGGTCATAAGTTTCAATCCAGAATATATAAGGAATAAGAAGGTAGTCAGCCAAATTTTAAAATGGGCAAAATACCTTAAGTGACATTTCACCAAAGAAGATATAAATTGCTAAGTACATGGAAAGATGTGCAGCATCATACGGTCCCTGTAGAAATTCAAGTTAAAACATGACGAGGTTTTATCATTACAGACCCACTGGGGGGGGCACATAATTAAAAAGACAATCCAGGTGTTGTCAGACTGTGAAGAAACCTGTACTCTTGCATCACCCTAGTGGGGAGGAGACAGCATAATGACTGCTTTGGAAAACATTCTGGCATTTAAAACTCTGTAAACCATCTTTGGAGATCTGGAAACAATCCAGACTTTTATCAGCTAGTGAGCAGATAGACAATATGTATTATATTCATGCAGCGGAATGCAATTCAGCAAGAAAAAGCCACAATCTACTGATATACACAAAAGGGCGAACCTCCAGAACATGCCAAGTGATGGAGGACAGAGAAAAAGATGATACATTACCTATGATGTCAGTTATACAAAATTTCCAGAAAAAGCAAAACTATGACTGAAGCAGATCAATGGCAGCCAGTGGGTGAAAATTAGCCTAAAGAACTTTCGGGAATGACAGACATGCTCTAACACTGGATTGTGGTAATGATTTAGCACCATATACATTCACCTACAACTCATCAAACTGACTCGTACTGGTGAATTTATGAGGTAGTAATTACTCTTCTCTAAGGTGGTTTTTGAAGAAAAGTAAACTATGTATTTACTTACCATTATAGCCTTCAAGAACAGAATCAATAATAGGTCTGGCAGTTAGGTTATAAACATCAAGCTGTTTACTTTCTGGTCCAAAAACAGTATCGAAAGTGAACGTCTTTGGAGGCTCGTTGGAAGAATCAGTCTTGTGGACCGTGATGGTTCCCCTCATCTCGTCCACGCTGACAGCTTGTTTGTAGAACATGGACCTCTCCCTCTCATTCAGGGGCCGGCACCTAACCACCACCTTCACATTATCGCAGCTTTCCGGCTTCTCAGACTTATTGATCTAGTGATGATATTGACAAAGAGTGAAAAGAACATTGTACTTTTACCCTCAATGTATTAAATGTATATTTGAAAAAAAGGTTTCTTTTGCTACACTGATGGCTTGCATAAGTTAAGACTTCAGAAATCTTGGCTAAATAAAATTAAAGATCTTATACATAGAAAGTTTATTAAAAAATATGAAAAGCAAATAGCTTATTTTGTAATTCAAAAGATGGACAGAAAATCTATTTCTAGTAAATGCTGTACAAGCAGAAAATGAACTTGCATATTAAAAGGCTGTCTTTCTGAACAAACATCCCGGACAGCCTCTGAATTTCCTGCCCAATGGGAAAACACATGTGAATATGGTTAATAAGTTTAATTCAAGAATATAAGTAGGTCCTTTGTTCCCCGAAGATACCTAGTTTTATTTTCCATTATGCATGTGTAAAATATTTATTGTATCTCCACATATGGTTTATCTTCTCTACAGAAGAGAACAGTAAGAATAGGAAAGAAACTCCAATGGCAGACACCACAAAATGGCTTTGTACAGCTTAAATTTATGAACATTTGCATGTCTGTGCAGTTTTAATTTTTGAAATTGCACAGGATTAAGAATCTAGATTAAAACACAGCTTATTATTGAAGTTCAACAACTTAGTAGCACGAATATTTGTTAAATTCCTACCATTTCAGACATCAGCTTGAGCATCAGAGAAATAAACAGAAGCGGTGCTGTTGCCTTTGACACTGTCATCAACAGTGTCACTGTCATTGATAATATCAATGCAATAGTCTTCCCTCCAGCTCTGCTTTGGTCACCTTAGTCCAGGTCAACAAGGCTCAGGCCCTGGACTACAGCCTTTCACCTATCCTCCTGTATCTAGTGAGACAGACCAGCTGATCACAGGGCAGCCAGTTTCAGCATGAATCTTCTTCACTTCCCCAATGAACATTCTTTAGTAGTTTCCCATAGAGATAACAATCCGCAGACTTCAGGTGGTCTGCAAGAGCTGGCTCCCACCCATGTCAACTCCTCTAAGCTGATCTGCTAAAATACGCAGCTTGCTACTCAGCCACAGGCCCCGACTCCGGCTTTCAGGGTCTTTTCTAGTCACCACGCTCCTTCACCTCAATGGCCTTTCCAGGTGCTGCTCCTTCTCCCTCAGAACATTCCTCAAATCCCTCTTTATTTATGCAACCCACTTGCCCTCCAGAACCCATCTCAGGTCAAGAGATTTCACCTGAGAACCCTTCCTGGACCAGGTCAGATGCCTTTACGGGCTCTGAAAACACCTGGCTCTCCTCATCAAGGATATGATTTCACCACGTTTTTTGTTGTTGTTTATCTGTCCTCTCTGCCTCCAAACAATCCCATTTTTGTTTGGCTCATACTTTAAGATATTTTAATTGCTAAAATTGAGACATTTCACAAACATAACAACTTTTAAAGTCTCTTGAAAGAAAACAAACATAATCTGATATCTGTAGCAGCATATAGGCAACGCCCTCCAGCTCACCAGAATCTGTGTCTATCGCAGGGCACCCACTTTGTTCGCTGAGGCTAAATGTCTTATCTCTGTGAATATCTATTCATTACTGCCTGAGAAGCCAAGCTTCTCTTTCCAGACTCAAGGACCCGGCTGGTTTTGCTCAACACTGTATCTCTAGGGCCTCGCACACAGTTGGTCCCCAATATCCCCTGAATGAGTAACTTGAAAGCAGCGAGAAGAGGCATAGACCATTTAATGCTAAACGTCAAACATCGTCCTTTCCGTTTCCTGTGCATTATTATCCTGTTTCACTCTGACCAATTCCAGGAGGAAGAGTTTAATTACGTGTGAACCAAGGGCCCATTCGGGACCTCACGACCCATCAGTAACTCTCCACGGTTCTGTTTTTCTCCAGCGGACTCATGATGCCCCCTTATGAAGGGCACGGTGCCTGGGAGCCCCTAGATGAGAAAGCACTGCCAGGGCCACGGCCCCGTGGTGCAGTGGAGACACCTACGGCTCGCATTCCGCACCGTAAGCTACAGCGCCCCGCGAGGAGTGACTGACAGCTCGAGCCTAGGACTGGGGAGTCTGGGGCCTGGGCTGGGGGGAGGGGGGGAAAAGCCTCGCCCCGCCGCCTTCAGAGCCGGTGCCCGCGACCCCGCAGGACCCCGGCGGCCGCGGCCTCCCCAAGCGCCAGCCCCGGCCGGGCGCGAGCCACAGCGCATCCTCGGCAACCGCGCGGTCCCCACCCCGCCTTTCTGCCAACCGCGCGGTCCCCACCCCACGCCGGGATGCGGCTGGGACGCGGGCGGCAGGGCCCGCCCAGAGCGCCTCCCAAAGCGGACTGGACCCCAGCCCCGGCCTCGACCCCGACCCGCCGACACCCGGGCCCGCCGAGACCCCGGCCGGCCGCCCTGTCCCCGCCCCGCCCGCCGGCTGCGCGCTTCTATGGCAACGGCCGCGCCCCCGGGCCAGGCCGCGGGGAAAAGGGGATAAGACGGAACCTCAGCGGCCCTACTCACCGGCATGGTGGCCCCCTCCCGTGCCCGGCGGACGTCCCGGCGGGGTGCGGCCGTACAGCCCCGGGTTCGCGGGAGAGGCTGGCCAGAGACTCCAACCGCTCCTTGGCGCTCTCCAGACTGCGGCTCCTTCGGCGAGAGAACTCAATGCGCAGGCGCGCTCTGAGTTCGTCCCGCCCAACTCCGGGTCTCGAGCTCGCTGGCTCTCTTGAATTACGCCTGCGCAGAAGCTTTTCCAGGCCATCTCCTAGGACGCCTGGGCCGAGACTGCGCCTGCGCGGTGCTGCCTTTTCCCTGAGCTACTTACCTGATTCGCACCGAGACTGGGTTACCTGGTTGACTCGGGCTGGGAAAAGGGGGCGCTCCTACCTTAGGTCTCGAGGCATTTGTAATACCTAAGAGTATTAAAAACAACAAAAGCAGTTGTACACTGTGTCCCATATAGAGAGCTAAAATCCTTTCCTCCATTGCTTTGCTTGCCTGCTAATTTATGACCTGATTTACCATTAAGTGAGCTGCTTAACAGCTTGTCTGTATTCTCAAGTGTATTTCCAGAGCCCAGAATAGAACCTGGCAAAGAGCAGAATTTCAGTAACTAGCTGTGAAAGAACCACTGATCCATCCTCTATCCAATCCGAACGCCCCCCTGAGCGTCAGTCCACTTGATTGTGTAACAGATATTTCGAATTTAACACGTCCACTGTATAAATCCTGATCCTCTCCACTGCTTTCCCTACTTTGACCAACCCCATCCCAAAAAGGCTCTCCGTCAAAGTTCATTATCTCAACAAATGAATCCTGACAACTGTAGTCTCTCTCTCACACCCAATACTGGAATCCTTCAATACAGGGATTGGATCTCTCTTCAAAGCAGAACTACTTACCACTCTCATGTGCATACAACTACTCTGATTACACTCTTGTCCCCTTTCACTATATCACTAGACAGCCTTCGACATCGGGGAGGCCTGCATCCATGGATTTAACTGATCACAAATTTTAAATATTCAGGGAAAAATTTTGTACTGAGCACGTAGAGACTTTTTTCTGGTCGTGATTCCCTAAACAATACAGTAGGGCAGCTATTTACATAGCACCTATGCTGCATCATCTAGAGATTTTTTTTTTTTTTTTTTTTTTGTATTTTTACTGGTACCTGGGATCGAACTCATGACTGCCTGCTTGCAAGGCAGGCGCTTATGCCACTGAGCTAAATCCCTAGCCCCATCTAGAGATTATTTAAGGTGTACAGGAGAAAAGGAAACATCTGAACAATATACAGGTGGATGTGTGGGTTACATGCCATTTCATATAAACTGCTCAAGCATCCACAGAAACTGCTATTGAGTGGCCTAGAACCAATCCCCAGTAGATGTGCAGGGAAATTGTATTTTCAGCACAGGAGCCAGAGAGATGGTATGAAAACATGAGTCGGATCTTGTCTTTGCTCAGAACTTTCCAGTGATTTTCCTTCCCACAGAGAAAACCACAAGGCTCTGTCCTACTGTGCCCTCTGCACCAGCCGTGCTGGCCTCTCCCTGCCAAGCAAGCTTCGTCTTAGCATGCACAGGCTGTTGTAGTAGAAACATGAAAAGATCTGTAAAGCCTTTTATTCAGGGCCAGTGTACTGTTTCAAGGGTTCTGCTTTCTTCAGCTTTAGTCATTTTATCTATGTGGTAACCTTTTGAAATAGGTATTATGTATTCTTATTTTACACATACACTGAGGCATGAGGCCATTAAATAACATTTCCAAGGTCATACATACGGGCAGTGAAGAAGCCCACACCTAAATCCAGGCATCCCAGAAAGCTCTGCCAGCCACCATCCTCCCTCACCTCTTTCAGAAAGTCACTGTTCGAAAAACACGCTTTCAGGGAGTCCTACTATGACCTTCTAATTTTAACCTTTGGACCTGGGGGTGTAACTCAATGATTTGTGAGGCCCTGGTTTTCTCTCTAGCACCTCAAAACAAAGTAAAACGTAGCACCAACCTTCAGCGCTCTCTCTGTCTCTGTCTCTCTCTTGATCTCCATGTTTCTCTCTCTCTCACTCTCTCTCTCTCTCTCTCTTAGTTCTTAGAAGATGTGTTTGCCTGGTTTCACTTAGCACAAGACACCTAAAAGGAAATCACAATACAATGAGATTTAAATCAAGACCTTGGAATTTCATACAAACACCAAGACCAAATCCTAAGGTATTGGTATTGCATCTCAAAATGTCCCCACTAACTTAAAAAAAAGTTTAACCCCAGGGCTGGGGATTTAGCTCAGCAGCATAAGCACCTGCCTTGCAAGCAGGACAGTGGTGAGTTTGATCACCGGTACCGATAAAAAGGAAAAAGACAAAAAAAAAAAAAAAAAAAAAAGTCTAACCCCAGTTCTTTTTATCTGCCCTTCCTACCTATTATCTCCTAGTACTTGACTGCATTTGATATTCAAAATGTCCTGTACATAACACACAAACTTACTGAGACATAGTTCAAATGCCATATCATATAATCACCAATTTAAATTGTGCAATACAATGGCTTTTACTATGTACATGGGGCTGAACAACTATAACCACAATCAAGTTTAATATTTTTATTCACTCTTTAAAAAACCCTCTATACTCACGGTAGTCACTCTGCCCTTGATCCTTGAACCACCACCATCACAAACATCCCAGCCCCAGCCAATCACCAACCTAATTCCTGTCTCAACACATTTGTCTATTCTGGACATTTGTCATAAATGGAGTCATGCAATACGTGGCATTTATGAATGACTTTTTCCACTTACAATAATGTTTTCAAGCTTCATCCAGATTATTGCATATATCAGTAATTCTTTACTTTTATGGCAAAAAATTCCCTTGTATGGCTTTTCTTTACCTACTTGCCATTGACAGGTATTTAGGTTGTTCTATTTTTTGGCTATCAAGAACAATGGTTCTACAAGTTTTTGTGTGAATATATATTTTTTTTATTTCCCTTGGGTACGTGGAAGCAGCTTTGCCATGTCTAACTCATGTTTAACATTTTGAGGCGGCCCCAAGATATTTTCCATGGTGGCTGCACCATTTTACATTCCCACCAGCAAGGCATAAGGTTGATAATTTCTCCAGATCCTTGCCAACACTTGCTTTTGCTTTTGTGCAGAAAAGTATCTCATGTGGTTTGTTCATTGTCACTTTTTAAAAATTTTTCTTTTGATGACCAATAGCATTCAGCATCTCTTCATGTGCTTGTTGACCACTCAGATAATTTCTTTCTTTTTTTTTTTTTTTTTTTTTTTGTCTTTTTCCTTTTTATCGGTACCGCGGATCGAACTCACGACTGCCTGCTTGCAAGGCAGGCACTTATGCCGCTGAGCTAAATCCCCAGCCCCTACTCAGATAATTTCTTTGGAGAAATTACTGAACTGTTTCCGTATGCACTGGGATCCAATCTGTGCCATACATGGCTGACAGGAAAAAAGGTTTATTTTCAGCTCAGTTTCAGAAGGCTCAGTCCATGGAAGCAGCTGTGTAAAGAGCATGGCAGGGGACAGCTGCTCCCTTTGTGGCAACCAGGAGGTGTAGAAAGCCAGAAGAGGCCAGGGATAAGCCTTGCGCCCGTGCTCTCATAACCCACCCTGACGCACCCACAAGTGTGCCTCTTCATTTCTCTGGCATCTCTCAAGCCAAGCAAGCTGACAATCAAGGTGAATGAACACACTTATTTTGTCTCCACGTTAGTAAACTGTAAACAGTTCTTTTGCAATTTCCTTTTTAGATCCATGATATGCAAACATTTCCCCCCATTTGGAGCACAAAAGTTTTTAATTTTGATCAAGTCCAATTTACATATTTTTCTTTTGTCCTTACGGATTTCATGCATGTTTTAAAAAACCATTTCCTGGTACTGATAAAAAAAGAAAAAGACAAAAACAAAAACAAAACAAAAAAAAAACATTTCCTGGGCTAGGGGTTTAGCTCAGCAGTGTAAGTGCCTGCTTGGCAAGCACGAAGTTGTGAGTTCAATCCCTGGGCCCAAAAAGCCAAAACAAAACAAAAAAATCATTTCCTAACCCAAGGTCATAAAGATTTGTTCAGATTAGTTGTATAGTTGTATGATCTATTTTATTGGTGATTTTTTGTTTTGTTTTGTTTTTTATTCTTGCATGGCTGGTGAGCACACCCAGGGCCTCTCACAGGTTAGGCAATCGCTGGACCACTGAGCTACATCTCCAGCCCTTGGGTTATTTTTGCATTTGGTATTACAGAAAGCCAACTTGTCTCCCTGCATGTGAATACACGGTTATCCACGCCCCCTGTGCCCAACAGAGTATTTCTTTCCTCACTGAGTCAGCACCTTTGTGAGCTCACTGATGGACTCTCAGGGCACTGATGGACACAGCTAGCCCAGTGCTGGGCACCGCACTGCCTCGATTGCTACAGCTTCACAGTTGTGTTTTACAATCTAATGTTTCCATGCCTGCAACTTTGCTCTCTCCAGGATTGCCTTGGCCATTTTGAATCCCTTCCACAGGGATGCTTCCGAAATAAGTGTCAATCTGTGCAAAAAGGGAGTTTCAGTTTTACTAGGGATAATGCTAAATTCCTAGACTAATCAGAGTGTATTACCATTTTAACAATTTAAGTCTTTCAACCTGTGAACATTTGTTTATGGGAAAAAACTTTTATTTTTATTCATTTTTTTTGTACCGAGGATTGAACTCACTTTATGTTTGCCAAGAAAACTTATTTTTAATAAATAAAAATCATGTACTTCTTTTTTCTTTTTGGTACCAGAGATCAAACTCGCGACCTCGCCCTAAAATAATGTACTTCTAATATACAAATATTTTCCTTTTCCTTTTTGGGGGGGAGTGGGTTTGGGAGACAAGATCTCACTGTATAGTGCTGGCTGGCCCTGAACTCAATAGGTAATCCAGGCTGGCTTCAAACTCTCAGCAATCTTCCTGCCTCAGCCTCCCGAGTGCTGGGATTGTAGGTATGCAATGTGTGCCCAGCTGCACCTTTTTCATTATATTTACTCCTAAGTCTTTTACTTAGGAAAGTAGGATGATTTCCTTAATTCTATTACCAGGTCATTGATGGTGTGGAAAAATAAATTTGACAATCTCATATTTTGCAAGCTTCTTATTTCTTTTTTTGGTACAGGAGCCCATCTCCTGACCTCACGCTGCCAGGCAGGCCCTGGCCACTG